AGAGGGGAGGGGAGAGGAAGGGGCTGGTCCTGGTCACCGCCTGGTGCTCAGTCCTTGGCCTTTCAGATCATCGACGTGCGGCCGGCCTCCACACGCTTCTTGCCGCAAGGGACCAGGATCGCCGCGTACTGGAGCCAGCAGTACCGCTGCCTCTACCCGGGCACTGTGGTCCGAGGTGGGTGCCCCTCCCTCCCTGGCACCCTCCTCACTTCTCAATGTGTCCGCGTGGGTTCCTCTGGTCCCTGAAACCCAGCTCTACGGGCTCAAGCACCACGTCTTTCACTGGCTCGTGTGTAGCTGAGAGCTCACAGGGCCTGTCCCCACGGCCGGCGGGAGTCGGGCTCGGTGGGTGGGCAGCGCTGTCCTCCGCTCGCGTCACACCGGCTCCGTGGGGACCGTATGTCGCCATCTAAATCCTGTCGTCAGAGAACGCGTTGCTTTTCCTATAGAAGTTCCACCAACTGGCTGGGGCCCGTGTACGTGAGCGGTGGTCCTGGGTCCTGTGCCCGTCCCTGAAGTAAGGAGTGAGGCTGGCTTCCTAATTTTGTTTTATTATGACTCGTTAGTCCTCACCCACGGATATTTTTCCCATTGACTTTCCGAGAGAGTGGAAGGGAGGGGGAGAGACACACTGATTGGTTGCCTCCCGCACGCGCCCTGACCAGGGCCGGGGATCGAGCCTGCAACCGAGGTACATGCCCTTGAGCGGATTGGAACCTGGGACCCTTCAGTCCGAGGGCTGACGCTCCCATCACTGAGCCAGTGGCTAGGACGGTCCTAATCTGATACGGGCCAGAGGGAGAGGGGAAGGTGGCTTGGCCAGGAAAGCAGGGATGTTGTTAGCAGGATAAGAGGGATTGGAAACAGGCCGACAGAATAACAGGTTCCCCAGGCACCGGCAAGGCTGGCAGCTACGCACAGGGGGCGCCCCTTGGCTACCAGAACCCACGTATCAGGAGACGGGATATGGATGTTTGTTACGTCAAAAACAAACCCAAAAGACATGCCAGATGCAGTCCACCCGCGGCCCGCTGCCACCCTATGTGCCCGGAAGGTGGACCGGGCGCAGGCAGGAGGTCCTCTCACTGTGGTCAGCGGCATCCTAACCAGGTCTCCGGGGTTGCTCGCCCCTGAGCCGCGTGTCAGCTGCTCCCCGCTGGCCGTGTGGGTGTCACTCTTGGCACTTGGTCTGCGGGCCCCCCTGCCCCGGCCCTTCTCCTACAGGAGAAGGACGACACGACGCCAAGGACGACGCGGCGGGAGCCCCTCCCGGGTTCTCTTCTGTCTCGACCCCTCGCTCCCGTGGCGGGTCCTCCCGTCGCTCTCTGCACTGGTCTGTAGAGGTAGCTGAGCTGGGCATACAGTCTCGGTTGGAAGTGATGTTCAAAGTCTCTGTCCACTGGGATCTGGCTTCCCGTGTTGTCTGAGACGTTCAATGCCGTGATGACCCGCAAGCCTTTGTAGACCTGTTTTTTCTGTCTGGAAACTTTTAGGATCTTCTCATTATTCCTGGATTTGGAATCTCTTGTGGGGGGTGTGTATGTGTGTTGTGTGTGTTTGTATGTTTGTATGTGTGTGCTCTGTGTTGTGGTTGTGTGTATGGTGTGTGTGTGTGATTTGTGTATTGTGTGTGTGCTCTTGCATGCTGGGTGTGTGTGGTGTGTCTGTTCTGTGTGACGGGTGTGTGTGGTTTGTGTGTGGTGTGTGTGGTATGTGTGTGGTGTGTGTGTGTGTGTGGTGTGTGTGTGGTGTGTTGTGGTACGTGTAGTGTGTGTGGTGTGTGTGTGTGTGTCTGGTGTGTGTGGTGTGTGGTGTGCGTGTTTGGGAGGGGGCTTTGATTTGAAGCAGATCTGTTCCTGGAAACTCGAATTGCTTCTCTGAGAGCGTCTTCTCTCGTTGGCTCCCCTTTTCCTGGAGCTCACACTCGTCTGCTGGCCTCGCTGCTTGTATCTTTTTTTTTATTGTCTGTTAAAACTTTTCTTCAAATTTTGGGGAAATTTCCTCAACTGTATCTTCTAGCCCTTCTATTCTGTTGAAATTTTGGAATGTCTGCTACCATTTTTATTTTTTTAAATATATTTTTATTGATGTCAGAGAGGAAGGGAGAGGGAGAGAGAGAGAGAAACATCCATGATGAGGGAGAGTCATGGATCGGCCGCCTCCTGCACGCGCCCCACTGGGGATCGAGCCCGCACACAGGGCCTGTGCCCTGACCAGGAATTGAACCATGACCTCCAGGTTCACAGGTCGATGCTCAACCACTGAGCCACGCCAGCCGGGCCACTTTCGTTGCCTTTAGCTTCCGATCCTCCCGAGTTTCCCTTCCGCTCTGTGGGTTCCCGTTCTTGCTCCGCGTCCGCCGCCCCTGCCTGTGTCCGTCTGACGTAGAGGCGTCCCTTTGAGCTCAGCACGTGGCTCGGAAGCTCGGTGACGGGGAGGCCTCGGACAGTGGCAGGCGGGCCTTCCCCGGGGACCCAGGGACCAGCGCCTGCTGCTCTCCTCCCAGCAGCCTCGGGGTCTGGGCTTAGGGCCTGGCACTCGGGGCTGGAGCTGGAGGCCACTGTCCAGTGTGCACACTTCCTGTCACCCCGCTGGTGTGGCGCCCACCTGCCTTCCGCTGTGTCCATCCTGAGTCTCCCCAGGTGTAAACCCTCAGCCTGTCCAGCGGGACCCCCTGCACCCCCACCCCGCCTGCAGAGGGCCTTGTGAAAGCTGGTGTTCTGCCCTGGCCAGTGTTGCTCAGTGGATAGAGCATCGGCCTGTGGACCAAAAGGTCCCGGGTTCGATTCTGTTCAAGGGCATGTACCTTGGTTGCCGGCTCCTCCCTGGCCAGGGCCCTGGTCGAGGTGTGTGCAGGAGGCAACCCATCGATGTGTTTCTCTCACATCGATATTACTCTGTCTTTCCCTCTCTCTTCCACTCTCCCTAAAAATCAATGAAAATGTCCTCGGGTGAGGATTAACCAAAAACTAAACTGGTGTCCTTGGTGGCATCACCTCCTCCCGGCCCCGACAGCAGAGCCGAGACCAAGTCACGCGCCGATGTCTCGTGAAACGGCGGCATGGTCGCCTCCTGTCCGCTGGCCATTCCGCTCCGTGCTGGTTCTTTGTGCTGCTGCGGGGGCGTCTCGGGAGGGGGTGGACCGGCCCCGTCCCTGGAAGTCACGAGGAGCCAGTGCTGGGCCGGGACACGGGGCTCTGAGCCGC